AAGGGTTTAGAGTGGAGGGTTAAGGTTAGGTTTAGTCTTTGGGGTTAAGTTTAGGGTGGAGGTTTGGGGTTAGGGTTTAGGGGGGAGGGTTAGGGTTAGATTTAGTCTTTGGGGTTAGGTTTAGGGTGGAGAGTTAGGGTTTAGGGTGGAGGGTTAGGTTTAGTCTTTGGGTTTAGGTTTAGGGTCAGGGTTAGGTTCAGGACATCGTTTATCTTCCGATTTCGTATAGACAGTAAAGTTTAGTTTCCACCTCAGAAAGCTGCTAGTCACATGACCTAATCAAAATGGCCGACTTGGATGTGGGAGGAGCTGGACATCCATCCCTGGCTTCCTACAGGCTGCTCACACACACACACACACACTCACACACACACTCACACACACACTCACACTCACACTCACACTCACACACTGGCTGTGTCTCCACATCTGTGTGGGGCGTTCGGGGCCCGTCAGACGTCAGACAGCCGGTCCTGCTTTAGTCATCAGCAGCGGCCGGCCAAACCACATCAGCTGGCCGGGGGGGGGGGGGGGGGGGGAACCCCGGCCCAGGAGCTGGCAGCCGCCATGGGAACGGGCTGGCCCCGCCCCCTCAGAGCGGATTTAAAGGGACAGCGCGCCTCTTAGAGCGAGAGGGGAGGGGGGACCCTGAAAGCAGCACCATCTATTATACCTAACCTGGATCTAAAGCTCCTCTCAGGACTCTGTCCTTCTCCAGCTGGAGTATTTTCGCTGATCCTGGTCCAGGACTGACTCCAGACTCTTAGCAGGTCCAGTTTGTTAGCCTCTGATCTAACGGGATTTTCCGAGCCGACCCTGAAGGCACCACCACAGCTCTATCATACTTAGTCTGGATTTAAAGCTCCACTAAGGAGTCTGTCCCTCCCCATCTGGAGTTTCTGGGTCTCCAGTGGGTCCAGAACTGACTCCAGACTCTTAGCAGGTCCAGTTTGTTAGCCACTGATCTAACGCTGGCTTTTCTGGGCCATCCCTGAAGGCACCACCACAGCTCTATCATACTTAGTCTGGATTTAAAGCTCCACTAAGGACTCTGTCCTTCTCCAGATGGAGTTTCTGGGTCTCCAGTGGGTCCAGAACTGACTCCAGACCCTGAGTGGGGTCCAGTTTGTTAGCCTCTGATCTAACGCTGGCTTTTCCTTGCAGACCCTGAAGGCACCACCCCCTCTAACCCTGTGTCTCTGTTCTGTCCCCACAGGCCAACGGCATAAAGATCGGCCCCCAGCACCCCACCACCAACTCCACGCTGTCCAGTAGCCAGGGGGGGCACCAGGCCGGAGGGGGCTGCTGCTGA